GAGTTGGGTGAGCGCGTATGCGTGCTAGATTGAGTGTGTGCCTGAGCGCGCACATGTGTGTGTGTGTGTGTGTGCGCGTGTGTGTGTGTGCATGTGTGCGTGTGCGTGTGTGCGTGTGCGTGTGCGTGTGTGCGTGTGCGTGTGCGTGTGTGCGTGTGCGTGTGTGTGTGTGTGCGCGCGTGCGTGCACGCGCGCTTGCAGGGAATTTGGCGTTTGCCGTGGCAGATTGAGGGCGAGAGCAAGGCGCGGGGGACACGCGAGGACATGTGTCCGCTCCCAAAAGCAAAAGCAAACTGCCGGGCACGTCAGCAAAATGAAATCATTCCTGGGCGTTCGCAGCCCGTCTGCTGCACCCGCCCTGCCGCGCCCGCCCCGGCTGTGCGCACCTGGCTGTGCAGCCCGACGCAGCGCAGCAGCTCAGGCCCCGTCGCGGCGCCGCCGCCGCCGGCGACGCCCCGCGGCGACACGAGCGCCCGCAGCTGCCGCGCGAGCCCGCAGCGAAGCGCGAGTAGCCGCTGCAGTGTGTGTGTGTGCGTGTGTGTGTGTATTTGTGTGTAGGAGTGCGTTAGTGTGTTTGTGTTTGTAAAAGTGTGTGTGTGTGTGTGTGTGTGTGTACGTGTGTGTGTAGTTATGGGGAGGCAGGGGGGCGTGAGCAGGGGCGAGACAAGTGCGCAGGGGCAATCACTCAGCCACCAGGACAGGGTGGCGGCGCAGCCAGAGCCCGTGACGCCTGGCATGCGCCCTCGACACATCGCTGCGCCAACGTCGCCCCCCTCGTCGACAAGAACGCACGCCACCTCCGGAGGGGCGAGCAATCCCGACAGCTGAGCATCTGTCGCCACTAATGTCGTCCTCTCGTCCACCATCACACGTCCCTCCCTACCAGCCCTTGCCGCGCGGCTGGTGCTGGCGCCCCAACGGCTCCCTGCCCTGCCCTGCCCTGCCCAAGTCGCTCCCCACATCGCCGCCCCTGCCCCGCCCTCCCGCACTCCTGCTGCCCTGAACCCTCCCGCCCTTCGGCATTCCCGCCCTCCTGCCCTTCCGCGCACCTGCTGCCGCTCCTCATGCTCCCGCCGCGCCGGCCCCTCAAGCAGCTCCTCCTTGCCCCGCCTAACGCGCGCCACTATCGGGCTCGCGCTGCGCGCGTCGTCGCCGCACAGCGCGGGCCACAGCGCGAGCAGCGGGCGCCGCAGCGCGCCGGGGCGGCCGGTGGCGGGGTCGAGGGCGAGGAGCTGCGGCAGGCCCGACACGAGCTGTACCGCCAGCGCGGCTTGCTCCTGGGGGTTGCGGATGGCCGCCCGATGGGGAGCGGAGGAAGGGGGAGAGCGAAAGGAGGGGGGCGCAGCGCACATGCGCGCAAGGTTGGGCGTCAGGAGGCGGCGTCACGCGTGCTTTGTCCCGCGAGAGGCCCCTGTGGCGTGCAGAACCTGCTGCCCAGCAGACCCGGGTCCCTCACCAATCCACTCACACGCCCTGGCAGCCTTCCCCCCACAAAGCCCCCGAGATGATCCCGTCAGGCCCCAGCCCTCATACACCCTCACTCACCAGCTGCACCCTGAAAACACACCGTACCCCTGGTAGCCCCGGAACCCTGACCCACCACCTGCTGCCCCAGACGTGACTCCGCCGCCATTCCCCAACCCCCACCCCCTCTCACCAGCTCCTCATCACCCGGCGCCCAGGCCATGCTGCCGGGTGACGCCGCCTCGACCATGACTCGTGCCAGCAGGTCGGGGTGGGCCTCCACAAATTCTGCTGCCTGGGCGCGCACCTGGGAGATTCGGGGTTTTGATTTGCGGGTTCAGGAGCCTTTTTGAGGGGCGCTTATGGCGCCGTGGGTGATTGTGTGGGGGCGGGTTCAAGGTCCTGCAGCAGCGCTCAAACGCAGCGAAGCGAGCGTCGTCGCACCCGCCACGCCTGCCGCGGCTGCGCTCGGTTTGTGTGCCGCGCATGTGCATGCACCCTTCGTGAGGACATGCGCATGCGCCCTGTGTGCGTGCCCCGTACCTTTTCGCTGTCAGGGTGCGCGACCACCATAGCCAGCACCAGGCGCAGCGCCGGCGCCACCAGGTGCACCAGGCGGTACCTGAAGCGTTTATGTTTTAGCGCCATGCCGTTTGCGTGATCGAGCTGATTCATCGTGGCTGTGCACATGCGGGCGCCACGGCGGCGCTCATTGGCGCATGGGCGCGGCCAGGGGCCCGCCAAACCCGCGAGCGGCGGGCAGCGGGCGGCGCCGCCACACGTCAGGGCTTGACCGGCCAATGGAACGGGCGTCATCACCACACTGTGCGCGCACCCCCGTGGCCTGACCCCGCACCTGAGTGACGTGGCGCGTGCGCCGCTGCGCTGCATGCTGGAGGGCTCCTCCGGCACGAGGTCCAGCGCGTCACATCTAGGGGGAAGGGGCGGGGGGCGGGCAGGCAGTGGGGTTGCCTCGTTCGGATCAACACATCACATGATTGGGTGGCTGGTGGGCTATCCCAAAGTGGTTTGGGCCATCCCAAACTGCCGGTCCAACAAAGTGTTTCGCAGCGGTGCCCCTTACCGGCTGGCCGCGCCCCGGGTGACGAGGTTGGCCCGTCAGGCTGCGGCCAGAGTCTGCAGTCGTCCACGCATACCTCTCGTTTGCTCACTGCGCGCGCACACACACACGCACGCAAGCGTGCGCTCCCGCACACGCACATGCGCGTGCACACATGGACACACACACACACACTCACACACGCATGCGTGTGCGCGCACCGGCAGAGGAAGGGTATAGCCCCAGCGTCCTGCAGCGCCTTGGCGCTGCCCATGCGCCCGCCAGGCCCGCCCGCGCCGGCCAGCCGCAGCAGCAGCGCCAGCTGCGCCTCTATCACGTACACGGCCGCCTTTTTTGAGGGGGGGGGGAGGGTTTGAAGTGAGGTGGCAGGGGTGATGGTGGTGGTGATGTTGGTGATCGTGTTGGTGGTGGTGGTGGTGTTGGTGGTCGGGCAAGAATCGACCCTGGGCTATACTGCGAGTTGGAGGGGCGCGAGCACGAGCGCGGCCGCGCGCTGCGGGGAGACAGCCCCCCTGGCCAGCCCAGCCGCTGAACCAGGCTTGCGTTGGACGTACGAAAAAGGCATCCGCATCAAACCCGCATCAAACCCGCATCAAACCCGACCCCTGGCGAAACCTAAAATAAGCAGCCGCTCCAGTCCGGCCACTGAGAGGAAGCTGCCACCCGCCCTCCCCCCC